TTGTCCGAAAATATTTGAAAACAAAGTCCTCTGCGACTAATGAAGCGCTTTAAAGGGCCCAGAAAACATTCAGTGGTCAAATCGCTAGCTAGTTCAATGTGTACTGCCTTCGTGGCGAAGCATACAAATAGACAAATGTAACCTTTAGTCAAAGGGGCTTTGCGATTACTGTTAGATTTAACCATTATTGGACCACCATAATCTATTCCACATGTAGAAAATGCACGAGTTGGACTTACTCTTTCTGTCTGCAAGTTTCCCATGATTGGCTGCTGCACAATTGGCTTATAACGGAAACAAATTATACAACGATGAACAACCTTTCTCGCTAAATTACGACCATCAATAATCCAATATTTATCACGTAATGATGATAAAATGGCTTGCGGACCAGCATGAAGTAATTTAAAGTGTTCATAACGACAAGCTAAATATAAAGTAAATAAATAAATAAATAAGTAAATAAAAAGAGTAATAAAGCTAAATGACTGTTGCCTGGAACTAATAGGGGATGACGTTGAAATTCGGTTAAATGTTTTGCATGTTTTAAACGACCACCAATCCTGATTACACCACGACCGTCCAAAAATGGATTGAAATATTTTAATTTACTTTTTATTGTTTGTAACAAATTTATTGTTTTGCAATTTTTTTATTTCATCAGCCCAGTGTTCGTTCTAAGCTACGAATACTAATGAAGTTGATGCATAATTTAATTCGTCAATCGTTAAAGGACCACTTCTAATGGGGGTATTTTTTACTCGACTCAAGCAATTATTTTTAAAACGTAAACACCAAGAAACAATTTTTTTTTAATTTAAAGTACGATGGATAATTTTCTAATAGATTTAACTTTAATTGAATACTTAACGAAATTTGAGTATCTTGTTTTGTTTCTACCATTTCTTCTGGATTAATTGAACACTTCTCTGTCATGATTGGCCATTGATCGCTATTTAGTGAAAGCCACTGTGGACCCGTCCACCATAAAGTTTTCTTTTGAATTTCACGCGGGGAACAACCTCTCGATAATATGTCAGCAGGATTATCAACCGTACTTACATGACGCCATTCTAAAATATCTGTTAGAGTCTGGATTTCCCCTACACGATGAGCCACAAAGGTCTTCCACTTGGTTGATGGAGATGTAATCCAAGCTAACGTAATAGACAAGTCTGTCCAAAAATATTTACGCGAAACTCTTATGTTTAATTTTGGTACAATTTTATGCGCCAAACGAGCTAACAATAAGGCCGCACAAAGTTCTAGTCTGGGTACTGAAATAGTTTTTAAAGGAGCTACTTTAGATTTAGCGCATATTAACGTAACCTTTGTTTCATTTTTATCGTTAATGGATTTTAAATATAAACAAGCTTCATAGGCTAACGTTGATGAATCAGCAAAACCATGTATTTCATTACAAACAATTTTGCCATCAATAAATATATATCGTGGTATAACTAATTAATTTAAATATGGTAGTTCATATAAATAATCACGCCATCTAGTTTGTACTTCGTTAGGAAGTTCTTCGTCCCAATTAATTTTTAGTGTCCATAAATATTGCATTTGTAATTTATATAATATTATAACAGGTCCTATGAGACCTAATGGATCATAAATAGAAGCTATTTGTGACAACATTATGCGTTTGGTAACATATTGAACATTCTGATCAATATTACTTACATTATATTGATAAATGTCATCTACTGGGTTCCATAATAATCCTAATATTTTGATTGTATTATTTTCTAAATCTAAAGTTAACATATCAATTTGATTATTACCTACTATGTCTTTAATAAGATCAGGATCATTGGATATCCATTTACGTAAATCAAAACCACATTTACGCGTTATATCTATTAATTGATTACGTAATAATAGTGCATCTTCTTTTGTAGACGCACCACCTAAAAAATCATCTACGCAAAAATCTTCTTTAATTGCTCTATAAGCTAACGGGTAATCAGTAGCCTCGTTGTCGGCTAAGTGATCCAGACAGCCAGTTGATAAATATGAAGCAGGTGTTGTGCCATAAGTGACTGTTTTTAATTGATACATCATTATTGGCTGGTCGGTTTCTTCACGCCAAAATATTTTTTGAAAACATCTGTCTGGCGGATCGATTAATATCTGTCTGTACATTTTGGCTATGTCCGAAGATAGGGCGTATGCATGGGTCCGAAAACGCGCCAAAATGCACACTAGTTCTTGTTGAATGCTTGGACCTTTATATAGTATTTCGTTCAAACTTTTGCCACTATTAGTTTTGCATGAACCATCAAAAACAACTCGCAATTTAGTGGTTACGCTGTCTTCCTTTTCGACCGCATGATGCGGAAATACGTATTCCTCCTTATCATCGTTGTCCGAGTCTGTAATTAATTCCATATGACCTAATATTAAATACTCGCGCATAAATTTCACGTATTTTTCTTTAAATTGTAAATTATATTTAAAACGATGTTCTAACGATTTAAATCGGCGTAGCGCTGTTTATCTCGAATTACTCAATGCTGACGGTGGTTCACGAAATGGTAATTTGACAACAAATCTACCATCATCGTTACGCCTTACATTTTTTAAGAAATGTCTTTTGCATGCATTTTCGTCTAAAGTATATACGTTTTCGCTAGAGTATTCCTCTAGGCGCCAAAATAGTTCGATTTGCTCTTCGACCTTTGATACTTGCACGTCACCTGCTACAAATAATGCAAGGCTTGTATTTGCATTATCGTCATCATAAATGCGACCTGCTACTATCCACCCGAGTACTGTATTCTGAAAAACTAATCCCTTCTGCGGTTGGTATTATNCTGTATTCTAAAAAACTAATCCCTTCTGCGGTTGGTTTGTTCGCCACGAAGTAACTCAAAAAAGACTCCCGATCCCAATATCATGTCAATTTTTTGTGGTGTGGTAAACATAGGATCAGCGAGCTCAATGTTAGCTGGTAATTTTAGATTATCTAGGTCAATTGATTTTAAAGGAATGTTATTCGTGAGTTTCGATAACACTAAACATTCTAAATTACTGGAATAATTGGATAAGCGCGACGATATCTTTACTGCCACTGAATTACTAGCGGTGTGTGTGGACAGTTGAATACCAGTAATGGCACAATTGACTCTGCGCCTATTTAAATTTAATGTTTGGGCCATACTATCGGTAATAAAATTACTCTGTGAGCCGGTGTCAAGTAGCGCGCGGCAAATAACTGGTTCACCATTACAATTATATGCTATAAGTACGGCTGTAGATAATAATACCTGTTCGCTTTTTTTTTGAATACATTTGTACTCATTGATGTAACCTGTTGTTCGCTATTATTGATATGACACTCATTATTGTTCTCGTTATGATTTTTATTGCCTTTGAAATTATTTAAATGCAACAAGGAATTAAGTGGTTTGTCACATTTAATGCATTTTCGAGACAAACACTTAGTACTAGGATGCTGTCGTAAACAATTTTTACACAAATTTAAATCATTTACTTTGTTTATGCATTCAGTAATCGAAAGTGATAAAAAATTAGGACACTTGTAAATTGTATGATCGGATTTACACAAAAAACATTTAATGACATTATTATTTGTGATCATTGCTGTGGTACGAATTTGCTCTCTTTTATAGACATTATCTCTTTTAATTGAATTAAAATTGTTTTGTCGCACATTTATCAACGAAGAAGATTCTACCGCTTCCAATATTTTAAACCGTGTATCCAAAAAATCTAATAATGTAGCTACCCACATAGCAATGAAATATTTCTAGAATATTCCTAGAATATTTATTTTTGATATTAAAATATTTCTAGAATATAACCAGAATATATTGAAATATTCTCACAATGTTCTCAGAATATACTTTGGCAGCGAATATTACATTCTCACAATATTTTAAAGGTATATTTCTAAAATGTTATAAAAAATATATTGTGACAATATTTTTAAAATGTTTTATAAATATATTAAAAAATGCAAAAAATAGATCACTATGCGGGATTTGAACCCTGTACTTCTAGCGCTTTAGACTCGTACGTGACCCATTGACCCACAGGTTGCTTCGAAAGAAATAGGATAAAAAAGACTATTTAAGGTAGTTCAAATGGTTATTTGTCTGTTAAGTAATTTTTCTTGTTTAAAAAAATTCAAAGTAAATACAATTTTATATTCAATTTAGATTAGATTCATATAATTTTTTTGAAAATCGGCGATCCCATCACCATGATTTCTCCTTGTAAGTTAGAAACTGACTATTATTGTTGATAATATAGAAATATATTCTAACTATAATAAAAAAACTTTTTAGGATTTTTAGTTTCACAGGACAATAATAAGATATAATTGCGTTGATAAAACTAAAAAAATTTTAACTCGATAGGCCTGCAAATAATAGCAACAAGGGTTTTTTACTGTCCCTAACTTACTTAGCTTAATTGAATTAAGTTAATTAAAATTGATACTAATTAGAGAAAATGGCTGTTTACTTATTAAAGATTTAGGAATATGTATATATAATACATAAGTATTATATAACAAGATACCAATATCATCCAAAGATGTAACTAAAGGGAGAAAAGAGGATGGCTTGTGTCTCTTAAGTTACCTCAGTTGGCCAACAAGATATATATTTATAATATTTAAAAAATTATATTGATAATATATTCAACAAATATTTCAAGTTAAATATTCTATATTTATTTTAATTAATATATTTTCATAATATTTATAAGCAAATATTTAAAAAGATATTTTTTAAGCACATTGTAGAAATATTTTCGGTGTAATATACTGTATTTATTCTCTTTAATATATTATCAAAATATACATAAACAAATATTTAAAAAATTATATTGTGAGCATATTATGAAAATATTTCAATAGAATATATTATTTATTATGTTTAAGAGATATTGTCACAATATTTTATTCAAAATATTTTAAAAAGTATTTTGACAATATTAATATATTGAAATTGCTATGTGGGTACGGAAGGTACAACCGTTTTGGGAGCTTTGGTTTCCCATTCTTTTAATGTCTTTGGATCAAGTTTTGACGTTATCAAATGAACTAATAATGAACCCCATAAATTAGGGTCTTGACCGAGAGCTTCTAATGCGTTCATATTATTTATTAAATTATCAATTAAATATCTTAATTTAAAAGAGGATTCTTTTATCATTGGTTGAATATCGAAAATCGCTTTTGTATGTGCTTGAACTAACATTTTTTTATTGTTGTATCGATTTATTAATGTTGACCAAGCATAATCATAATTTACCTCAGTTATTTCAACCGATTTTATTACGTTTGCGGCATTACCACATAGTGACGATTTCAAATAGAAAAATTTTTGCTCTTTTGAAAGCCATGAATTTGAGTGTATAATTGCTACGTACATATCATGAAATGACGACCAATCTGCGTAATCTCCGGAAAAAGATGGTAAGTTAATCGGAGCTAATTTTGCAAACGAATGCACCCCTTGATTTTTGCGATTCGAAACAATTGATATACTACTCGCGGTAGCGCTATTTTCACCATTGACATCCGACGGTCTAATCTCTACAGTATTATCTGTGTTAAAATTTCCATTCAATTTATTAATAAGCTTTTCACACCCGGAAACTGCCTCATAATAAAGTTCCTCAAATTCTGAACGATATTTTTCATTATCGTCCGAGCTTTCTGGAAGCGCGATTTCTATGTCCAATTGCAGTTTATTAAACTCACACCATGCACCTTCAGCCCTTTATGCGCGAACGGACAGCTGATTAACATCCAGTTTCTCTGGTGCTAATTTGATAATATTAATTGTGCGTGTTAGCTGACCTTTGAGCGCTGCACGAGCTACTTTTAGCGTATCAATGGTATAGGTAATTCTAACGGTTGGGATTATACGATCGCCCTATTGTTATATATATATATATATAACTTGCAAATTTCTTGACGGTGGGAAAATTGATTTACCCAAGATAAAATTATCGACTTAACTTTTTTTTTTTTTATATATATATATAAGCGTAAATTACGAATATGATTCTCTTACCGATGTATTTTGATAAATTCTTCACTAAGACTAAGTAATTAAACTTAATTAAACTAATTAATAATTGCGTTTGGAGATAACTTGATTAATAATTAAACACTTTCCAAAGAAAAACTAAATTAAACACTTAACGATTAGTTACTTTGATTATATATAATTAATCAAAACGATTGTTTTGTCACCGGTACACAGAGTACTTTAACGATATAAACGATGTAGAACACGAAAAAACGATGCAAACGAAATAAAACAATACGCAAACGATTATATTTTAATAACGCTTATCCGGAACGAAATGGACCAATGTTTTGACTTCGATATGGACTGTATAAGAAAAATATAAAAAATTTTGGACGAACGACGATAATTGTTTAAACCTTATATAAAGGTGTCTTTTATTAAAATATAATGATTATTTACAATTTTTACCACAGTGCAGTGACGATCGAACGATAGAAAAATGAAAACTGACTGAAAACCAAATATAATAATACGTTTTACAGCGCCTTATCAACAATACAATATATAAACCGAACACTTATCATTATTGTTAATTCATTTATTTAAGAATAAATATCAATTTCAAATCAAAATGAGTGATGCCCAGTGTTGTGGACTGTATGTCATTTTTCTAGTTGAACAGATTTTTGGGGTTTTATTATTTTTAAATTTTAAGTAACTCTATGAACGTTAATATATCAATTTTTATTCGTTTAAATTACAACTCTATGCTAAGAAATCACGTCGCCGACTGACTGAATTAAAAGTGGTGGTCAACGACCGTTTACGTACATGTTGATAACTCTAGTCGGACCTAACATAGCGGGCGCCTTAAAACACTGTTTTAAATTAATGATTATTAAATAAATCAAATGAACAAAAACAAAAAAATAAAATAAAATACTACAAATAAACCAAAGGAATAAGACTTATTAAATAGATTTAACAATTAGTATTCGACAATAATTATTTAAAAAACACACATTGGGACTCTCATAATTTATCTACACAAAATAAATATAAATAAATTAACAAATAAATAATCAAAAAATATTTAGTTTTAACTATATGAATCATTGAAGCAATTTAACTCATTGTTTGGTTGTCCTCAAAAGGTAACGGACATAATTGTCTTACCGCTCTATTGCTTTCACCGTTTGTAGTCTTAATTGTCGCAGAATGTATAACATCATCTTTACCATACTGTACCGCTAGTACGCGACCCAACTTCCTATTCAATGACGCTACATTTTAATCGCGTAACAAAACTATAGTGCCAACGTTAATATTAGGACCCTTGGCAGTGAACCACTTCACCCGTTCCTGTAATTGAGCTAAATATCCGTGTCTCCATCTTTTCCACAACATTTGGGAAAAATGTCGCACAACTCAACCCAACCATCGATCCAACCGATTGGTTTTAACACCGGTTTCGTCCTCTTCTGACACAGACATAAGCGACTCTCCAATTAAAAAATGTGATGGTGTAAGGAATAGTGGATCAAATGGATCCGGGGAAAGAGTAGTCAATGGTCGAGAATTTAAGCAAGCTTCTGCCCTTATTAAAATAGTATTTAATTCCTCGTATGTTCAAAATGCCTCCCCTAACACCTTAAAAATTATAGTTTTCATTGACTTCACAAACCCCCAAAATGAGGCGAGCGCGCAGGAATTAATCGCCATTCCACGCCTTTTTCCGCAACATTCTTAATCAGCTGATTTTCGTACTCTTCAGATTGAAATAAATCGTAAACTTCTTTTAAATATTTATTAGCTCCTACGAAATTTGTAGCATTATCGCTGTATAAGATTTTTGCAATCCCTCGTCTATTAAAAAATCTATCTAATGCATTTAAAAATGACTTCGTGCTCAAGTCAGACACTAATTCAATATGAACTGCTTTTGTTGAAAAACAAATAAATATACAAGCGTAACATTTTAATATACATGTCCTTTTTCTAAGACTGTCCTTTATCATCAGCTGTCCGGCAAAATCACAACCACTTATTAAAAAGGCTCTTCCCTGTTTAAAACGACTAATAGGTAGAAGGCCCATAATGCGTTGTATTACAACCGGTCTATATCGGAAACATTTAATACAATGATGCAATACGCCTTTTGCTGTCCTACGTGCGTTCAATGGCCAATAATTTAATCTAACAGTAGATAACATCGCCTGCGGGCCGCCGTTCATTAGACGTTCATGTTCGCGTAGAAATAATAAACGCGCGTATTTACACTTATCACCAAGTAACACTATAGGATGACGTTGACATTCATCAATAGACAATGCATTTTTCAGTCTACCACCAAATCTAATTAAATGTTTATCGTCTAAAAACGGTCTTAATCGTAACAATTTACTTTTCTTTGACACCTCTTTACCGTTTATCAAACAACTAATTTCTTTGGCAAAATAATTATTTTGCACAATACGTATTAAATTAATATTTGTCCTATTTAAATCATCTGCATTTATAACACTTGTTTTAAACAATGTTTTATTTACTTTAATATCTATAAATCTTAAACAATAAGTCATAATACGTAAAATTTTATTTAAAGATGAAAATTTGTCTAACAAATTAGCTTCTTCTATTACATTACCAATAAATTTAGTTGTACTTTTTCTTTCCAACATATTGCTTGAAATTTCTAATACTCCATTATTTTGACTTGTTCATTCCGTTTTATCCCTACTCAACCAAGACGGTCCTTGCCACCATAACTGCATCTCATTCATCAACTTCGCTTCACATCCTCTAGAAAGCATGTCGGCTGGATTATCCTGAGACCGTACATGAGCCCATTCTGATGGACAAGATAAATTCTGAATTTCACCAACTCGGTGAGCAACGAATGTCTTCCAACTTGTGGATGGAGAAGATATCCACGCCAAAACTATATTTGAGTCCGTCCAAAAGTACTTTTTTATAATATTTAATTTTAACTTTTCCATAACATTATAAGATAACCGTGCGAGTAATAACGCTGCGTATAGTTCTAATCTGGGTATAGAAATTACCTTTAATGGAGCTACTTTTGATTTCCCACAAATAAGCCTTAAACTATGTTTACCATCTATATCGGTGCATCGTAAGTATATACATCCACCATATGCCTTTTCTGATGCGTCCGAAAAACCGTGTATTTCTATTGACGAAATATCTTTTTCACACGTTATTTTTTGGTGACACTTTTAAATTATTCAAAGTTAACAAGCTCTCGCGATAATTTAACCAGTTTTCACTTATATTATCAGCTAATACTTCATCCCACGTTAATTTTATGTTCCATAAACTTTGAATGAAGAGTTTGGCTCTTATTATTACAGATCCTAAAAGACCAAGCGGATCATAAATACTGGCTACCTCAGATAATATTTTCCTTTTAGTTAAATCACTTTCCGGNATGTTTCGGTGTGATCTCTTACGACTAAAAGATCTTCGATAAATTAAATGAAACGTAAAAGAATGAAAAATATAAATATGCGTTTATTATATGTACGCGAGCGGTGCGCTTTACAAAGGTAGACTAACTGATTTTAAACACGGACGACTATGCAGCCGCCGAACAACGATAAGATAAAACAACAATAGATACACTTACTGTGTAGGCCTAAACAGTTGGATTTTCTCTCCATAATATTCTTTGGTAATCACAATGTTAAGGAACTAAATTAATTTGTCGATACATTTTTTTTATATCTGCAGATAAAGCAACTCTATGTTTTCTAAAACGTATATTAAAATAAAAATCATATCGTCTTGTAAGACGAGACCTTTTAATAGTACGTCATTCAGTGACTTACCAGATGACATTTTACACGACGCATCGAATACCACACGAAGTCGTGTTGTTGTGCTATTATAATTATATACAGCGTGGTGCGGTAAGTAACATATTTGTTCCCCAACTATGGGTTTCTTTTCACTAATTTTCTGCATTAACCCAATATTTCGTATTCTTTCATAAATTTACTATATTCCTATTTTAACTTTTCGTCTTTTTGCAACTTTCTTTCCATATTAAAAAATCTCTTTTTTGCTATCTCGTATGATTCGCCTAATTTATAATTTTCCCCTTCTTTAAAAGGTAAATAAACCATAAATCTACCGACATCGTCTCGCTTAACCGTATTTTCAAAAAACTCTTTACGANTTAAAAGGTAAATAAACCATAAATCTACCGACATCGTCTCGCTTAACCGTATTTTCGAAAATCTCTTTACAATTTTTATCTTCTAACGTTAGAGGCGCGGCTGTTCCTACTTCTTCCAAACATCAAAATTTAGATAACATATTGTCTAATTGATTTTCGTGATCAATCACTGCCGAATAACTAATAGAATGATACGCTTGACTACAGCCCGGATTTACTACTCCTGCAATTACCCAACCAAACTGCGTTTGTTGAAATATTGATCCGTCCTCGGACGGTTTAATTTTACCTGCGCATAAAACATAAAAAAAGTGACCTGCTCCGAGTAATAAGTCTATTTTTTGCGGTAGTGTGAAAGACGGATCCGCTAATTGAATACCTTCCGGAATAAAACATTTACTTTTTATATTATTCGACGGAATAAATCCTGTTATCTTAGGAACAACCAAACATTGTACTTCTATTTTGAATAAACTAATGCGCGATGTAATTACTACTGTAATCGCTGAAGTAGTATTTTTTTTAGTACCTCCTATGCCAATGACACTGTGGTGTACTCGCGAGTTACGCAACCTTAATAATTGTACCATATATTCACTTATAAAGTTACACTGTGAACGAGAATCCAGCAAAATTCTACATCTTTCTTTTCCATCTTTAACATTACCTGCATAAACTTCTACTGTTGACAACAATANTTTTTGCGGTAGTGTGAAAGACGGATCCGCTAATTGAATACCTTCCGGAATAAAACATTTACTTTTTATATTATTCGACGGAATAAATCCTGTTATCTTAGGAACAACCAAACATTGTACTTCTATTTTTAATAAACTAATGCGCGATGTAATTACTACTGTAATCGCTGAAGTAATATTTTTTTTAGTACCTCCTATGCCAATGACACTTATCGTTTGGAGTATTATTATCTACTTTTATTTCTTGATTTAGAGTAGTATTTAAATGCAACAATACATTGTGTGGTTTTGAACACTTTAAACAATAACGCTTCTAATACTTTTACACTATTTTCCAAAAATGCAATAAATTCGCATACGCGTGCTATTCTATCTTGGGGTGATTCTACTTCCCATCTACTTAGCGTATTTCTATCAAGCTTAGTACAAATTAAATTCATTAACATCGGCCCCAATTCTTCAGGTTTTTCTTCTAACATTTTTAATACACTAATACGACAGACTAAAGAATCCAAAAATTCTCTTATTTTAACCGCAGACTCTTGATGCACCATTCCTAGCTCAAAAATAGCTTTCACGTGGATTTGAATTATTAACTTATTATTGTTATATCTCTCTTTTAACATTATCCACGTGATTTCATAATTATTTGCTGTTGTTTCTAAACTTTTAATAATATTTGCTGCCTCTCCTGATAAAGATAAGCGCAAATAGCAAAATTTATGAATATCCGATAGATCCGCATTAACATGTTTAAGTTTAGAAAATAAATCATAAAAAGGTTTCCATTCACTGTATTCGATAGTAAATACTGGAATACTTATAGGAGCTAATTTAACGTGAGAAATACATTTATTTGTTTGACCACAAGAACTTTGCTGACAACTATATTGATTTTCTTTAATATCTATATTTTCGACCTTTGACGAACTTACTATACCGATTAATTTATTTGATTTGGCTAATGTTTTAAAAAATAATTCTTCACATTCCTCTCTATATATATTTTGTTCCTCCATGTTTACCTCTTCTTCGAGCTCTATTGCTCCTTGAATAACTTCGAACTCTGACCAAACAGCTTCTATTTTTTCTATCCGAAATGGTATTTGCTCTATTGAGACTTTTTCGCTACTCAAATATTTTTTGAATTTTACTAAAGATGTTTTTAATTGTCCTCTGTGCTGCGCAAGATTAATGCTCGTTCCCCCATATCGAAGGTAAGTGAGAACGCGCTGTGAAATTTAATACTATTAACAGCTGATATTCAGCAATGTAACTTCTATTCTGTTATTATTATGAACTATAGTATCCTATCCCCACATACGAGGTGTTATAATAACCTTTTAAACGCACCTATAAATATATATACTTTCCGCGTAGAGTATACGCGCCGATTTATTACTATTCTCACCTGATAAACATAACTAATAACCGGGTAAAAATCAACATAAAAAACGATCTTACAATAATATTGAAAAACTTACAATATAATCTTTTAGGAAATTTTCGAATAAATTTATTAATAAAAGGAATATATTTTAATTTTTTTACCTTTCGACTGGCTTTTTGAATATTATCCATTTTCTTGAAAGGGTAAACTTTTGGTAATCCAAATGACACGTTGCACTATTTTACGTATTTATTATTTTCGCACTTAAAATTTAAATTTTTCGTTAATTATTAACCAAAAATCCGTGTCCGAAGGACCATGTTGTGGACTGTATGTCATTTTTCTGGTTGAACAGATTTTTGGGGTTTTATNCGGACTGTATGTCATTTTTCTGGTTGAACAGATTTTTGGGGTTTTATTATTTTTAAATTTAAAGTAACACTATGAACCTTAATATAACGTTAATAATTTTTATTCGTTTAAATTACTACTCTATGCTAAGAAGGCACGTCGCCGACTGACTGAATTAAAAGTGGTGGTCAACGACCGTTCACGTACATGTTGATAACTATAGTCGGACCTAACACCCAGAATTAAAAATCCTATAAAAATTGCACATTGTAAGTGCGTTTTAAATAGGTAAACAATTTTTTATTATTGTTTAAATTACTATTATTAAAAAAAAATGGTTTCGAATTTTACTATCCAACATGTAATAATGGTATTTGTGATACAGGATTAAAATAGTTTTACTTTAAATATTGATATTTTTGTTAGCAATACTGATATCTTAATATCAAACCGAGCTCTATAAATCTTATTTGAAAAGCTATAAACGAAATATTAATACTATTTAATATCGATATTGTGTCAATTTTTGCCATCCCTATATGTAGTGAAGATAGGTATTTACTGATGAACATTATACCTGTTCTTTAGACTGAAAGTCATGTATTTTATCTTTTAATATCTTTATTTCAGACATTTTACTTGCAGTTTCAAGCTTAAAAAATAAATAAATACTATTAAGAAATACAGCTACATGATTTTTAATTATACTTATATATAAGGTTTAATTTTTAATAATTTAATTTTTCTATTTGTTTCTAAAGTTTATAAATTAAATTGAAACTTACGTATCAACTGGTATCAAGGTCAACTTAAAAGCCTTTTAAATAAAACTTATTTAAAATGAAAATATTTAGAAACATACCTTTATTAAGATGTTTAACTCAACTATTATTTGAAAAATGAATTATATGAATTTCAGACTTTATATACTAATCTTAAATTCGTAATATACAGAATAAAAGACGAGCAGCTTTAGACAGTCATATTTAAATGTTCTGAGATTATTTAAATATTATATGAATATTTAAATTAAAAATACCATTAAAACACTGTTCTTATTTTCACAAGATATTAATTCATCATTTTTTTTTCTGCGATCTTCTTCTAATTTTACATTAACATCAATAGTTGCACTTAACTTTTGTTCTAAAATTTTATATTTATTCATAACATCTCTTAGTTGTTGATTCAATTTCTAAAATAATAAAATAATTTTCTTAAAAAATTTTTGAATGGTCGATAACAATTTTAAGACAAATATTCATTAAATTCTAATTATTTTAACATATAAAGTGAGTATATAGTTAGGGATGGCAACGATATTTTTGTTAGCAATACTGATATCTTAATATCAAATCGAGCTCTATAAATCTTATTTGAAAAGCTATAAACCAAATATTAATACTATTTAATATCGATATTGTGTCAATTTTTGCCATCCCTATATGTAGTGAAGATATGTATTTACTGATGAACATTATACCTGTTCTTTAGACTGAAAGTCATGTATTTTATCTTTTAATATCTTTATTTCAGACATTTTACTTGCAGTTTCAAGCTTAAAAAATAAATAAATACTATTAAGAAATACAGCTACATGATTTTTAATTATACTTATATATAAGGTTTAATTTTTAATAATTTACCTGTAAGTTAATATTTTCTTCACCGAGTTTTACATTTTTTGAATCTAAGCTTTTTATTATATTTTGATAAATGTTTTCTTTTTCATCCAATTCGGATGCATTTGTTGAAAGCACATTTTTAAGATAGTTGTTCATATCATTTAATTCAGTGATCTAAAGTTAATGTAAAATAATTAGTGCAAGAAGATATAAATAACAATTTTCTGTATACCTCATTATTTTTATCTTCTATTGTTAATATATAATATATTGAATATATTAGTAAAAAAATATTTATGTATAAATTATACGTATTTTAAAAAAACGTTATTTAGTATTAATAAAAATATTTGATATTGTATAACCAAACCAATAGATAATAATCAATTAAAATATTTTAGTATTAACTTTATATATATGTCAATCAATTATTAAAATATGAAGCATAGAT